ACTAATGGTCTCCCACCATTGCCACCACCACCGTCATTGCCTCCCACCACTACCTATACCCACCACCATCATCACCGTTATCATTCACGGCTGCCACCACGCACCACAACCATCACCGTCTCTCACCACCACTGTAATCATCGCTCACCCTNTTTTATTTATATACACTTGTTATTTGAGCACCTCCACCTCCACCCCCACCTCACCCCCATTGTCCCATCACCACCCCCACTATCTCCATCCACCATCGTCGTTCATCTCCACCACCAACTACCATCGTCATCTCATTCTTATATTTATTATTACTATCACCATCATCCCATTACAACTATCGCCCACCGTCAGCACCCACTATCACAATCCACCGCCACCCACTACCACAATCCACCACCCCCTGTCGTCGACCATTGTCATCCACTTTCACCACTCTTATACACAACCACCGTCATTCATCACCTCCTATCACATTGTCGTCTAAAAAGCACTAATGGTCTCCCACCATCTCCACCACCACCGTCATGGCCTCCCACCACCACCCATACCCACCACCATCATCACCGTTATCATTCACGGCTGCCACCACGCACCACAACCATCACCGGCTCTCACCACCACTGTAATCATCACTCACCCCCACTACAACTGGTGTTTAAATTATTTTATGTCTTTTCTATATTTATGATTTGATTTTGCATGTAAATACAAATATGTTTATTGATGATTTTTTTTTTATTACTTCATTTCTTCAGGCATAGACAATAACTAATTTACTTATAAAATTTGTGTTTTTCACCACCTATGAATTATTTACATATAAAAGATACCGAAAATACATGGCACCCCACAGAGAAGTCGTGTTAAGATTAATCTCACAAGTATGGGTGAGGGGATGAGCAAGGTACAGTCACTCTAATGTATCCAACTCCACAGTATGGATTATCGTACCAAAGACATAGGCATGTTGACACGTTGCCAGATAAAGTGATAAGGGTTTAACTTGTTAGTTGCTTGTCATGTTGACACGTGGAAAGTAGATTAAGAATTGGGCATTTTTTTTTTCTGAACAGGAAACTTTTTATTTTTATTGTCTTCGCATTGCTCACATCTTTGTCGGATTTTAAATGATGTAATAAAGTTATCATTTTTTTGTCTAAACAAATTTTACAACCTAAAATAAATTAATAATTTAAACTAATTTTTAATTCATTTAATTTAATATAAGAAATTAAAATAAAGTTAGTCCTTAATATTTTTCAGAAATTTTGGCATTATTTTCTTTAAAAATAAGAGTAAAAAAAATCTAAATCTGTCAACAGAATTTACAATCATATACAATAATAATCATTATACACCGTACCACCACAATTCAATTTTATTTTTCTCAAAATTAGCAATTCATGCCAACGATCAAAGTAATCATCAATTCACATGAAACCGAACATATCTTAATAACTATGTATAATTAGTTTATCGTACTAAATACGAAACAAACAAAACACATATAAATTACACACAATATCACTAACAACAATAACATTCAAAAATTAACAAATCCGTATTTCAACAATTAATAAAAAATAAAGTTGAATTTTTGGAGAAAATAATTGGGAAAAATATATGACGGCTATGAAATAGGTAAATTAAAATTTTTTTTTTTTGGAGCAATGTAATTGAAAGCAATTGGGTACAGCTAATGTGTGTTTACATTAAATCTGTGGGGTGCGTGTGTGTTGTGTATCTAGGTGCGTCTTTGTGTTGTGCATGTATGTGTTTTGTGTAAGGCCAGCAAAGTGCAGGCTTTAGGCCCCAAAACACATACATGCACTAATCAAAAATTATAACCACTAATTCAAAATAAAAATTCAATTTTATAAAAATTGAAGCCCAACAAAAAAGTTAAAAGATAGATTTAAATTAGATAGTTCGGAGGTATTTCTTCCGCCCTTGTACCAAAAAAACTATTAAAAAAATATAAATTTAAAAGTGACGTACAGTTGTTAGAAATATTTTTATATTACACTTCTCAACATATTCTTCTAACCACTCACTCTTTATCCTTATCTTTCTCTCTCCTCTCTCCTCTCTCCTCTCTCCTCTCTCTTTTCTCCCCTCTCTCCACGATAAAATAATTTGGAAAGGTCAAGAGCCAAAACAGACCCCCTCTCCCCTTTTTGCTCTCTCTCTCTAGCCAACAAAGGCTAGGGGACCTCCCTATCTCCTCTCCCTACAATAAAATTTGTCTCGTGACAAGGACTTTACTGTGCCATTATTTTTTTATGGCTGAGGCGTTGTTTTGCCTTCTGGTACAATGATAATCAAATTTTGCAGGAAAATCGAAAATAACAACAAATAAGGTGTTATTAATCTATGCTTTGAATTTTTTATTTAAAGTTATTATTATGGTTTTTTTTAATATAGATTGTGTGTGATTGTTTCATTATTTGTGATTGTTTAGTTAATATTTGATAGTATGGCAAGTAGAAAACAACCGGATGGATATGAAAGGCTAAAAAAAAAAGAAGATATTCCAACTCTTGGGGTAGGGGTTCCAACTTTTTTGGGGTGGTTCCAACTTTTCTGGTTTGGGTTTCAACTTTTCTGGGGTGATTTTCAACTTTTTTGATTAGGGGTTCCAACTTTTTTGGATAGGATTCTAACTTTTTTGGTTAGGAGTTCAACTTTATTAAGTAGGTGTTCTAACTTTTTGGATAGAGGTTGGAACTCTTGTGGGGGGAGGATTCCAACTTTTTTGGAGGTTCCAACTCTTGGTGGTTCTAACAGTTGGTGGGTTCTAACAGTTAGGGGGAGGGTTCAACTTTTTTGGGTAGGGTTCTAACTTTTTTGGATAGAGGTTCCAACTCTTGGGGTATATGTTCCAACTTTTTTGGATAGGGTTCTAACTTTTTTGGTTAGGGGTTCAACTTTTTTAGGCAAGTGTTCTAACTTTTTAGTAGAAGTTCCAACTCTTTTGGGGGGAGGGTTTCAACTTTTTTAGAGGTTCTAACTTATTTGGGTAGGGGTTCCAACTTATTTGGTTCCAACTTTTTTGGGTAGGGGTTACAATTTTTTCGGTTGGTGTTCTAACTTTTTTTGGTACGGGTTCCAACTCTTGAAGAGGGTTCCAACTTTTTTTGTGTAGGAGTTTCAACTTTTTTTGGGGTGAGTTCTAACTTTTTTGGGTAGGGGTTCAACTTTTTTGGAGTGAGTTTCAACCTTTTTAATAGGGTTCCAACTCTTGGGGAAGAGTTCCAACTTNTTGGGTGAGTTCTAATTTTTTTGGGTAGGATTCCAATATTTTTGGAAGGGGTTCAACTTTTTTGGAGTGAGTTTCAAACTTTTTAATAGGGTTCCAACTCTTGGGGAAGGGTTCCAACTTTTTTTTTGGGTAGGGTTCAAACTTTTTGGGTTTAACGGTTGGAGGAGGGTTCAACTTTTTTGGGCAGTGACAGTCTTTAGGCGGGAAAGTGGGTGGAGGGAGAGATAAAGTTTTTGTGATTAATATATTGTAATATATGGGGTGTAAGTGTAATTTACAATGTGAATCATTTAGGATCGGTCCAAGAAATGGGAGATCGGTCCTGGGTAAATATCACCCTTTTATCCCTTAAATAATAAAAAAAATCCCCAAAAATATTCAATTTTTTATAAATAGTCCCAATTTTTATTAACAAAAAATTAAATAATGAATAAAATCAAAAAATTAAAGGAATCATAAATAATGCTTCCAATTGAGTCAGGTTATAATATTTTTGGATTGGATTCCAATTTTTTGGGTGACCCCAATTCGCTACATCAAAAAAATCTTACTATCCAAAAATATTCAATATTTTTTAAATAACAAAAAATAAATAATAAATAAAATCAAATAAATAAAAGAATTGTAAATAATGCTTTGGTGTGGTTATAACTGGTTATAACTTTTTTTGAATTGGGTTCTAATTTTTTGGGTGAGTCGGATTAGTTAGATCAAAAAAAAGTCCTTAAATATTTAGCATTTTATAAATAGTTAATTTTTTTTTATTAACAATAAATAAATAATAAATAAAATCAAACTATTCAAATAATTGAAAATAATGCTTCTAACTATTTGGGTCATGCTTCATTTTTGGAGGTTACAACTCTTGAGGGAAGGTTCCAACTTTTTTGAGATTCCAACTTGGGGTGGGTTCCAACTTTTTTGATTAAGAGTTCCAACTTTTTTGGTTGAGATTCCAACTCTTGTAGGACAGTTCCGACTTTTTTGATTAAGAGTTGCAATTTTTTTGGGTAGGGGTTCTAACTTATTTAAATAGATGTTCTAACTCTTGGGGTATGGTTTCCAACTTTTTTAGATGGGGTTCTAACTTTTTTGGTTAAGAATTCAACTTTTTTAGGCAGGTGTTCTAACTTTTTGGTAGAGGTTCCAACTCTTGTGGGGGGAAGATTCCAACTTTTTAGAGGTTCCAACTATTGGTGGGTTCTAACAGTTTGGGGGAGGGTTTCGACTTATTTGAGTAAGAGTTTCAACTTTTTTGGGTAGGGGTTACAACTTTTTGGGTTGGTGTTCTAACTTTTTTGAGTACAGATTTCAATATTTTGGGTAGATGTTCCAACTCTTTGAGGGGTTCAAACTTTTGTTAGGTAGGAGTTCTAACTTTTTTTGAGGTAGGTTCTAACTTTTTTGGGTAGGGTTTCAACATTTTTGGTAAGAGTTTAACTTTTTTGGAGTGGGTTTCAACTTTTTTGTGGTAGGGGTTCCAACTCTTGGGAAGGGTTCCTAGGAGGATTCCAACTTTTTGGGTCTAACGGTTGGAGGAGGGAGTTTAACTTTTTTGGGCAGTAGTTCCATATTTTTTGAGTGAGGTTATTTGTCAAGTCCTACTCTTTTTCATTACCGGTTTAGCAGGTAACCGATATCAACTTTTTTAAATTGATCGACGGCTATAAAAACAGAAAAATTACATCAATGGCCCAGATAAAATGGTGATACCATACCGAAAAGTAAAAATCGGTATTATAGTCTAACCCAAATTCTCAACTGCACTGTCCTTTATCAAGAACATAACATAAATGACGATCCAGATTGGTCCACATTGATACATTCATCATGGTCTAAATTTAATATGTGATGCACATAACTACCGGCCAGTCATTTTGAATCTTAAGTATATGGTCGATAGCTATGTGCATCACATATTAAATTTAAATGTGATACATTCATCATTTATTATATGTTTGTAGTGATCTTCAAAATCTTCAACCTTAAACCAATTGTCCTTTTATTTTATCAACCATCTTCATACACCTTGGTTGGGGTTCACATGCAAAAACTATTGAGTGATGTATGTGTTATTATACTTATTGTGATTCAATAATTGAACAAGTAATACAATAAATAATAACTAACAAGTCTATTGTGATGATTTTCTAATTTCATCGAAAATATTTATGGTTCGGTTCAATGTTATTAGAACCGAACTAGACATCAAATCGGCAGAGAGACTAAGTAAATGATTCATTGATTCAACCGTTAGATCAACTGGTTGGATCGATCGTATAACAAAAAAATATAAAGTATAATAATTTAACCAAAAAAATAATATGTTCATAAAATTCAAAGAATAAAGAATATAAACGTGTGAGAGAGAAAGACAGTGAGAAAGTAGTAAAGGACAATCAATATCAGCCAGTGGAATAGAGAAGAGAAATCTTTTATTTCAAGAATGTGAAATGACCATTTGTCTTGCTCACATTTCACACACACACA